GGCACTGTGCTAAGCACTTTATAAACACTATCATTTGATTCTCACAGCCTTAGGAGGTAGGTGCTGTTGTTATCCCCATTTTCCAGATGGGGAAACTGAGGCAAACAGAAGTGACTTGCCCAAGGTTACGCAGGTAGCCAGTGTCTGAGGCCAGGTTTGAGCTTGGATCTTCCTGACTCTGAGCCAGTGCTCTATCTACTGTGCCACCTAATGACCTCTTCCTAGGGCTTTATACATATACATAGAATGCACAGGTTATTAATATGAAATATATACAAAGTAATTTCAGGGTAGCAGGGAGAATTCTTAATCACTTGGGTCTTCATGACTCCAAGCCCAGTTCTTTCCTGTAGATGCCGCTACCTTTGTATCCCCAGAGCCTAAAAGTAGCAGATGATGAGTGTTTGGTTTCTAGAGTAACAGACTAGGACCAAATTGTTCCTTTACCATCCGATTAAAGTTAAAGTAGAATTTCAGTTTCTCTCCTAGAGTACAACTGCAGCTGCCTGACAAACCTTGTACATGTTCTAACCCCAGGCATCTGCCTTTGGTGTTAGAAGCAGGGCACTGGAGCACGGGATGCCTGTTTCCTGTTCTTTTTGATTCTCTCCAAGTCAAGTTCTCCATTTATAAAAATTGTCTTTCCTTGTTCCATTGCTGTCAGCTACAAATCTGTCAGATCTGAGGAAGTAAAGTAGAGATGGGGGGAGCGGGTGTAGGGAGGCTCCCTGCAAAAGGGGAGGAGAGGGGCGCCCTCCCTGCAGAAACAAAGATGGGAGGGGGACTCTCTGCAGAAACAGAAATGGGGGGCCCTCCCTGCAGAAGCAGAGATGGGAGAGGGGGTCCCTGTAGAAACAGAGATGGGGGCCCTCCCTGCAGAAGCAGAGATGGGAAAGGGGGTCCCTGTGGAAACAGAAATCGGAGGCCCTCCCCGCAGAAGCCGAGATGGGAGAGGGGCTCCCTGCAGAAACAGATGGGAGGGGGCTCCCTGCAGAAGAGGAAACTGATAGCAATGCCTCCAAACTCGTCTTGAGCACACCCATCTCAGCTTTTTTAAACTGTAAAATTCACCATCCTCAAAGTAGATTGCTGCCACTGATTTTCAATTTCCTTATTGTTTTTTAATCAGTAAGCATTTGTTAAGCATCTATTTTGTTCCAGGCAATGTACTAAATACTGGGGATACAAAGAATGGCCAAAACTTAACAAACAGAAACCCAGTCCCTGTTCTGCAGCCACTCATGGGCCCAATCCCAATACTGATTGTTTTCCTGCTCTGTTTCTGCCCTGGGCTAGTTGACTCCTCCTCAGGCAACCTAGCGGGTTCCCTCTGCTCCTGGGGCTCACCATATTAGTATGGGACTTAACATGGACACCTAATCAGCATTCCTCCTTCTTCACCTCCAAATTCCCAAATGCAAGCAACCCCCTAGCCTCTGACTTCCCAGTAACAAGAACTGCAAATGTGTGTTACCATGCCTGGCCTCATTGCAATTTCTGCCCATTTTAATTCTGTCTTCTGGGGCCAAGCAACTAGCTCAGATATATCTATAGATAGCTAGGAATTGTATATACTATTTTCCTAGGGAAAAAACCCAACAACCGGGGAGTAGTTGCCTTCCTATTACCAACAGGAGCACAAAAGAACACACCATTAACCCAGATTTCAGACTGTTATCAGGGAAGCAGACAAAACAGTATCTTCCGTGGCAGCTGCTGTGAAAACATATCACATCATCCTTGTTGGAGAAAACCCTGATAGTCAGAAATCTTACTACTTGTTCCCAATCCAACAGGAACAGCCAGTAATAACCTTGATTCATTCGTTAGACCGACATTGATTAAGTGTGTATACAAGTGGGTAAATTTTGCCGAAACCAGTTTCATAAAATGCTAACATTTTTACTGTGAGGAGGCATAAGTAGGAGCAGGCTGTCAGGAGGAAATTACCTCTTCAAAAACAGGGGAAGAAAATACCAAGAGTAGCAATGTGCAAGTAAATATGGTAAGTCCTTACTGAATGAACCACTAAGGGCTGAAATTTTACATGTAGAATGATTCAATTCAGTTCAATAAATGTTTATTTAGGCCTTTTTTGGGCCAGGAGCTCTGCTAGGGGAAACAGCCCCTTCCCTCAAGAAGCTTATGTTCTACCTGAACACAAAAGACTCAACTACACATAATGCTGTTAGATGGAAAAAAACGCTAACAACTAGGGAGACTCTGGGAAAGGTTTAAAGAAGAGGGGGAGGGGAATCTCTGGACTATGCCTTGAAGGATGATAAGGATCCTGAAGAGGCAGAGATGAGGAGGGAGGGAGTGCATTCCAGACGGGCCTTGGGTAAATACAGGAAAGTGGGAGATGGAAGAAATCCTGCATTTTGGGGAACCGAGAAATGGTGGAGGATAGTATTCAAATACTTGGAAAGTTTGGATGGAGCCAGATTGTGGGGGGCCTGAAATGCAGGGCTGAATGGGAGATCATGCTGTGGAAAAGAACATTGAAGCAAGGCATGGCATCTCCTACTTCTGAGGTCTTTAACCAGGACTGCCTCAGTATGGGGTGGCCTAAAGGCAGAGGGGTGAACTTTTCAAAGAGACGCCGTGATCTTCCCTTAATTTCTTTTTCCCAGAGGTGGGGGAAGGGGAACAAGTATTTATAAAAAGCCCACTGTGTACCAGACACTGTGCTAAGTGCTTTACAAATATTATCTCCTGGAGTAGAGAAAATGAACTCTATGTGTTGATTATCCATGACTTATTGAGAGATTCTTTGGGAGGATTTGGATTACAAGAAGTTGGTGGTCTGGTAAACCTTGAAAGTAGTTGCTCATTCTGTAGGCACCAAGGAGATTTGGGTCTGAATCCTGGCTATCTCTATGACCACGAGCCTCAGTTTCCTCTTACAAAATGGGGCTGATAATACATTGTTACGTTCCTGGAGTGGTTGTGAGAAAAAATGCTTTATACATTTTAAAGTATTAGAGAAATGTCAGTGGTTATACTATTGTTATTTTGGATTAGAGTGATGATTTCATTGATATAATGAATTCCCAGCGAAGAGACTCACTCTTATCCACATTTCCTTAAAGGAGAGATTCTTTTTTTTTTTTAATTTTTTTTAGGGGTGAGGCAATCATGGTTAAATGACTTGCCCTGGTTCACACAGCTAGTATCATGTGTCTGAGGCTGGATTTGTACTCAGGTCCTCCTGACTCCAGGGCAGGTGCTCTATTCATTATGCCATCTAGCTGCCCCTAAAGGAGAGATTCTTAATATTTGTGTGTGTGTGTGTGTGTGTGTGTGTCTTAGACCCCTGTGGCAGTCTGGTGAAAACCTATGGACCCCTCTCAGAACAGTGTTTTATAATGGACAAAATAAAATACATAGAATTACAAAGGAAGACAATTCTATTGAAATATAGTTATTAAAAACAAATTCATGGACCCCTGTCTTAGCAGGTTACCCAGAGGACTGAAGGATTATGACCTACCCAAGGTCACACAGCTAGTATGTGTCAGAGCTGGGGCTTCCTGGCTCTAGACCAGTTCTCTATCCACTACCATGCTGGCTATTATTTATTATTATTATTATTTCACATTTATGAATGCAGAATAGCTGGCTTTCTAGAGCCTCTAAGTTAGACCCAAACATATCCTGAGGAGCCAACACATGTGACTTTTTTCCTCTCTATTGATTTCTACCTCTCATCTGTCCTCCCAGGCTGAGATGCCTCCTCTTGAACTGGTTCAGGATATGGAAGGAGTAGGCTAGGATTCCATGTGTAGGATTCCAGCATTTTCTTGAGTGATGAAGAGATTGGGTATAATTCCCCTTGTCTACACATACCAAATAGCAAGAGACCAGACTTGGAATCAGAGGAAATGATTTGATTCCTGAGGCAGGTGCTGAGGACATCAGTAACCATGGCCAAATGGTTTCTCCTCATTGGGTTTCCTTCTCCTCCCTTGAAAAGAAAGAGAATTGTACGTCATCCCTTCTGCCTCCAGAGAGCAAATAAGTTCTCTTACTTTTCTAGTGAGCTCTTTGAGGGGTTAATGTTTGTGTCTGGGCCCCCTCTTCCTAGCGCATAGTAGGTGCTTAATGAATGCTTACCACTTCAGCGATTCTCCAAGCCTTTCCAGGGCTTGTAGATATTTGTTTTGATAGTGTAATATTGTGATTCTGGTGAACCATTAGTGAACTTCTTTCCTTTAGAGCCAGAAAATCTGTTGCACCAGAATTTTAGAACATTCCCACCTAACCAAATTCCAAGTTTGGGTCTACACATTCCAGATGATTGAGGATTCAGAATGATGCCTGGAAACATTGTCCTCTCACATTCAGAATGTTTCACCTCTGCCAGCATGAAGCCAAAAGAGGGCAGAGGATCATTGATAGAGAGCTGGAAAGGACCTCAGAAACCATCTAGGCCAACCCCCTCATTTTATAGATGGGGAAACTGAGGCCTGTAGAGGTTAAATGACTTGCTGGAAGTTACTCAGTAAATTTTGGAGACAGGATTTGAACCCAGGTTCTTTTATTAAGTACCATACTGTTTCCTCCTCTGGTGTCATCATGAGGTAAAATGAGAAAATCACAGAGGAACCTGATCCTTAAAGGAATGTACCAGACAGGCCCCACCTGCAGCAGCCACCCTTTAAGTCTACCTGGGCCCTTCCTGCTGGACTCCAGATGATATTAAAGGTACCTGCCTCCTTAGCTAGCTGACTAAAGCAAGGACTTTGGCAGGACTTCCTGCCATGTTCCCCATGCAGAGATGACATTTTTATGACACATTAGTGGTTGGCAGAATGAAAGGTCACTGTGGACTGAAGCTTTTATCTAAGTTCCTTGATCTGAACTAAACCTGAAGTTTTGGCAAGTGCTAGCTTGGCTATTGAAGCAGGTGGCTGGCCCGTGGGCCGTGGGGTATAACATGCCAGGTGGGATGAATGGTTTAGGGAAAGCAAAGTCACCGCTGATGCCTTTTATTGCAGTTCTCCAAGGAAAGACACATTATGGACAGGACCCCAGAGAAGCTGCTGAAGAAGGAGCTGGAGGAAGAGCTGCAGCTTAGCGGTGAAGACTTACGCAGCCATGCCTGGTATCACGGGCGCATTCCTCGACAGGTATCTCTCATTTCCGGACCTCTCTTGTCTCTCTGTCTCTTTCTCCACTTCAGAGCAAATAGAGAAGGTAGACTTTCCCAGGCAAATGTCCAGCTGAGCTACTTCAAGCTACTACATTCTGAGACCTTGTTAAGAGCTCCTGTGTGGTTAAAACAAAAGAGATCCTAGCTGGACAATCTGCATCATGTGCAGCGTACTGTTTACTTAACACACCCGTTTCTATAAAGAAACCATAGGGAAGTGTCAGGGTCAGAAATTCAAAGTCCATTTTGGTTTTAGCTCATTCCGAGAACTTGGTAAACAGAGCCGGATTGAGATTAAAAAAAAAACCAAACAAACAAACAGGAAGTCTTTTTATTTTCATTCATATGTATGTATGTATGCATGTATATAATATACATACACAAAGATGTGTATATGTATGTATTTTATATATGCAATAGATATACATACATGTGCATAGATGTAGATAGATATAGATATATAGTTAGATACATATAACATATCTATAATATATACATATAATGTAATATATAAAGATATCTAGAGATAGTGATAGATATAAATACCTATATAGATATCTACATAGATAAAGATATACAGATATCCAAATCTCTATCTCTATAGGTAGAGATGGATAGAAATAGAGATTTATAAATATATGTGTGTACGTGTATTCAGCTTTGAATCTTATATATGTATATATATGTGTGTATATATATATATGCAGTAGACATTTTTAGCACTAACAAAGACGCTACTTTAAAGCAGCTACTTTGTATTCTTCCTGAAACTAATAGCTACTTCTCTTGAACCAATGGATGTTGTCTAAGGATTCTTCTCCATTTCTGATAATCTGTGACAGCGATGTAACTTTTGGAACCTATGTCACAAACATCATCACAAAAAAAGTTAGTTATGCCATATACAACAAACTCTTCATTATTCAGAATTATGTGTATAACATCATAGATTTAGAGCCAGAAGGGATCTTGGAGGTTATCGAGTCTAAATCCCTTATTTTACAGATGATAAAACCGAGACAGCAGTTAATGACTTATCCAAGGTCACATGGTTAATAAATGTTTGAGACAAGATTTGATCTTAGGCCTTTCTCACTCCAAGCCCAGTACTCTATGCACTTAACCACCTAATTACCTCATTATGCCACCTAAACTGAATACCTCAATAAGATAATTGATGTTCATTAATGGTGATCCTAAGGCATCATAACAATTGAAATGCCTTTTGACTAACTCACAGGCAGTTAAGTGGAGCAATGGATAGAGTGCCAGGCCTGGAATCAAGAAGACCTGAGTTTAAATCAGGCCTCACACACTTACTAGCTGTGTGACCCTGAGGAAGTCCCTTAACTTCTGTTTGCCTCAGTTTCCTCATCTGTAAAATAAGCTACAGAAGAAAATGGCAAACCATTCTAGTATCTTTGCCAAGAAAACCCCAAATGGGGTCACAAAGAGTTGGATATGACTGAAACACTCAACAGTAACAAATTTGACTAATTCAGAAGAAAAACTAAATTATCAAACAAAATCTCAGAGCTGGCAGGAACCTCAGTCAGTCAACAAGCATTTATTAAGGACTTACTATGTGCCAACACTGTACTGAGGATATTGGGGTCCCTACCTTTGAGCAATTCAACATTCTAATGGTGGGTGGACGGATGAGAAGGATCACTATGTACATACAAGATTACAGTGTTAAATGAAAATTAGCACCAGAGGAAAGGCACTAACAGTGGAGGAGGACTAGGGAAGGCTTCCTGCAGTTGGTAGAATTTGAACTCAGTCTTGAAGGAAACCAGGGAATCTAGGAGATGGAGGTAAAGAGAAGATGCAACATAAAATGAAGAGCTTCCATTTAAGAAGGGAGCTCAGCTCAGAACAGCTCCTCATGTCCTACCTGGCTGCACTGCTTTGGGACCTCTCTGACTTTCCCACCATGCCTCTTGTCTGGTACCTTCCCAGTCCTCCCCCCATCCCACGCACCACCTTTACCTTTTAGCTTCTTTTTCTTATTGTCTTCCCCTAGCCATTGGGAAGCTCCTTGAGAGCAAGCACATTTACTAAATGTTTAATGATTGACTGACGTGGAAGATAAACCATGCCAAGGCACAGAATTTGGACATGGGGTGTCCCACTGGAGGAAAAGCAAGGGCAGTGCAGCTGGACTGTAGCTTGAGTAAGGGAGTAAAGTGGAAAAACTAAGAAGATAGGAAGGGGCCAGATCGGGAAGGGCTTTAAAAAAAACAAACAAAGCATTCTACTTGATCCTGGAAGTAATGGGGAACCATTTGAGTTTATTGAATGGTGGGGAGTGATAGAGTCAGATCTAAGCTTTAGGAAGATCATTTTGGCAGCTGAGTAGAGTAATAACCAGGAGTGGGGATAGAATCAAGACAGGGAGACCAACCAGGTAGATACATGAAGCATTTATTAAATGTTTCCTAGAAGAGCTTGATCATAGTTGCCCAGGTATAAGTTGATGAGGGCATGTGCCGGGCTGTGTAAGCGGAGAAAAAGGGATATATGCAAGAGATGTTGGGAAGATAGAAATGATAAGACTTGGTAAAAGATTGGCTATATACAATACTGTAAGGATGATCAACCATGAAAGACGTAGCTATTCTGATCAAGCCAATGATCTAAGACAATTCCAAAGGACCCTTGATGAAAAATGCTAACCACCTCCAAAGTGAGAAAATTGATAAATTCTGAGTATAGACTGAAGCATACTTTTTTTTACTTTCTTTATTTTTCTTGGAGTTTTTTTTTGTTTTTGTTTTCTTTTGTAGCATGGCTAATATGGAAATATGTTTTGCACGGCTTCATATGTATAATTGATCTAAAATTGCTTGCCTTTTCAAAGGGGGGGAGAAGGAAAGACTTTGGAACTCAAAATTTTACAAAATGAGTGCTAAAAATTTTCTTTACATGTAATTGGGAAATATTTAATGAAATAAATACAAATATATTGAAGGAAAGATTGGCTATATGGGGACTTAATGACCTTATTTGGTAGTTTTTTTGGGGGGGTAGAGTTTTAATATAAGTATATTATATTCAGAGTATCAGGAAATCTGGGTTCTTTGTAGTCCATTACATTGGACTCTGCCATTAACATTGTTAGTGACTCTAGGCAAGTCATTTAATCCCTCTGCACCTCAGTTTCCCTATCTGTAGGATTAGGGAATTCTATACCGGGATGCCATTGAAGGACCTGAAGATCCAACACTCTGAACCTCAGAAATCCAGGAGGGCCTAACCCTGTGAGGTAGAAATCAGCACTGGGACCCAGGGCTTGACTAACCGTCTCACCCAAAAGCACAGCAGGAGCGGAGCCTTGCCTTGGCACAAAGGCCCAGTTCAGGAATTAAAGCTAGAGATGAGAGTAAACCGAAGGAGACGCTGACCAGTATATAAGGTTACTGTAGATCACAAGAAGACCAGAATAACTGTTACAGTTGCAAAGAAAGTCTCAAAGGGAAAAAAATGGGTTTTCCATAAAGACTACTGTATTAAATAGTTAGAAGAAGGAGAAAAAGAGAACAAAATCAAATTATTGAGAAAGTAGAAGGAAATTAAGATATCAGAAGTAACAGACCTAGAAAACGAGTCAAGGAAAGATAATTAAAGAACCACTGGAATTAGTGGATAGAGCACCAGCCCTGGAGTCAGGAGGACCTGAGTTCAAATTCAGCCTCAGACACATGATACTTACTAGCTGTGTGACTCTAGGCAAGTCACTTAACCCCAATTGCCTTGTCAAAAAAAAAAATCACTGGACTTTCTGAAAATCATGGTTTTCAAATCCTGGATACCATATTTCAAGAAGTCATAAATGAAAACTGCCCAGATTTATTGAAATCAGAAGGCAAAAGGAAGGTAAAGAGAATCTACCCATCACCTTCTGGAAAAAAAGAAAAGAAAAGAAAAGAAAAATCTTAGGAATGTCACAGCCAAAATTCAGAGCTCACAAGTCAAAGGAAAAATATTGCAAGGCTTAGAAGTAGTACAAATATCTAGGAACCAGTTAGGATCACACAAATAATAGGAGACCTTGGAATTTAATATTCCAAAAGACAAAAGATAGAGACTTACAACCTAGAACATTACACTTGAAAATCTTATAGGGAAGGAAATGGACCTTTTATGAGATAGAAGACTTTCAAGCATTTCTGATGAAAAGAATAGAATTGAGTAGGAACTCTGAAATACACAAGAATAAAGAAAGACCTAGAAAGGTAAATTTATTTGAGCAATTGGAAGGAGCAGTATGATGCTAGAAATAAGTGTCCCTTCAGAACACAAATGTCTTTAAAGAATATTAAGATAGTTAAATATATTTTTAAAAAGTACTCAGGGGTAGATTGGTTTTATTTTAAGAGTTTGAAGAAAGGAAGGAAAAGAGAAGAGGATAAAAGGAATTTAGTAGTGTAGAAAGGATGAATAAGGGAGTAGAACCTGTTCTTTCTCATAATTGGGGTATATGAGAAAATATAGAAACATGGAGGAACCAGGTGGAAGGGGAGGGCATCAGATGACCATCACTCTTATCTGAAATGGACAAGGGAGGGTTGAATGCATATACACACAGTTTGGTGGAGGAATGAATCATACTCTCTAAATCACTAATGATAAGAAAAATATAAATAAAAACAGCCCTGAGTATAAACCCTACATTGCAAATTGGCAAAGATGGTAAGAGATGGGAATAGTTAATGTTGGAAGGGTTGTAGGAAGATAGGCACATTGGTGCATTGTTGGTGGAACTAGTGATTCAGTGGAAGCAGTTTGGAATTATGTAAATAAAATGACTAAAATGTCCATGCCCTTTGACTCAGAAATATAAGCCTATATTCCAAAGATGTCATTGATAACAAGGAAGTTCCCATATACACCAAAATATTGGTATACCAAAAGCAGCACTTTTTGTGATAGCCAAGAATTGGAAACAAAGAAGATGCTCATTAATTAGGGAATGGCTGGCGGCAGGTAGGTGAGCAGGAGATAGAGCTCTGGGCCTGGAGTCAGGAAGAACCGAGTTCAAATCCAGACTCAGACACTTCCTAGTTGTGTGACCTTGGGCAAGTCACTTAACCCTGTTTGCCTCAGTTTCCTCATCTGTAAAATGAGCTGGAAAAGGAAATGGCAAACCAGTCCAGTATTTTTGCCAAGAAAGCCCCAAATGGGGTCATGAAGAGTGGAACATGACTGAAAAATGACTGAACAACAACAGCAACAATACAAATCGTGGTACATAAATGTAATAGAATATTATTGTCCTATAAGAAATGATGAATGTAATAAATACAGAGAAGCACGGAAAGATCTATATGAACTGATGGAGAGTGAAGTAAGCAGAACCAAGAAAGAAATGTACACATGAACACAACGTGCAAAATGACCACAGTAACGTAATTGAAAAGAACAGTCACACACAAGTCAAAAATGAATATAACAAAATTGTAAACAATAAGCATGGCTCAAAAGAAGAGATATGAGAAGGCCTTTTCACCCACTCCTTTGAAGAGGTAGGAGGCCCACAAGTGTTGTACATAGCACATATTTTCAGACTTTTTCTATGTATTGATCAGTTACACTATTTTTTTCTCTTTTTTTTTCTTTAAAAGATACTATTTGTTGTATGGTTTGGCTGTCAGTGTTGGGAAAGGATACTAGGGAAATTATATTTTAAAAAAGACATCAACAAAAACTCATGTTAAAAAATATATCAAACTCAAGCAGGGAATGGGGGGGTGAGGTTGGGGGTAAAAAGGTAAAAAAGGAAGAAAAATAATACTGGAAAGAGAATAGTCCCAGGAAAACAGTTTCCTCATCCTGAAAGGGATGGGGTAAGAGAAACAAAAAAACTAGAATCTAAGGAGGGAGCCATCAGTTGGGGAATGGCTGAACAAGTTGTGGTGTGTGAATGTCTGTGAAAGAAATGCCAAGGACCAGGACAACAACATTGTAAAGAAAAACAACTTTGAAGGACGTAAGAACTCCGATCAGTGAAATGACCAACCGTATCTTCAGAAGACTTAAAAGGAAGCATGTTACATGAGGCAAAAGACTTGAGGAGGAAGAGAAGACATATTTATGGCCAAAGTTGTGAGACCTATATTTATTTGGACATGGCTTCAGTTTGTTTGACTCAGCTTATATGTAACAAGGATTTCTTTCTTTCTTTTTTTCTTTCAGTTATGAACAGAGGGAAGGGTTACAGGGTAGAAGGTGGGATCAGCAATAGAGATGCTTCCCCAAAAGGCCATTGTAACATTTTTTTAAATGTGCAGAAGGGAAAAGAAGGAAGTTCAGCAGGAAACACAGGAGGCAGAACAACTTTGAAAGTGATATGTAGATTTTATATTACATTATATAGTTTTTATTATATTTTTTCCTCTCCAGAAGCAAGCAGTTTGAAATAGCAATTTTACAGTTTGATATATAGTCCCCTTTCTGTGTTCTGCTGATTATTTGGAAATGCTTTCTTTTTGGGGTGATTAGAATAAAAAAAATACTTAAAAAAAGAAATTATGATCTATATGGTAATTCTCTTTTACCTAGATTATTTGTTTAGCTAAAATACCTCCATTCCTTGACCATGGTAGATAAAACTGGATTTGCATTTACTAGACACTGGAAAGTCCAAAGAGCTTGGAGAGCAGAGAAAAACAAAGAAATAGATAGTTTTGCTTATGGTCCATATAAAACACATACATCTTGAGAGAAAAAGATATCAAATACCATTTCCTCCTCATTCTATCCCAAAAAGTTTATTTGCCTAACATAATATGAATTTTATAGTCTAGTAGTCTGCCATTTTGGAAAACAAAAGTGGAAAGCACAAAAGCAAATTTTAGCATCATCAGTAGTTACGTCTGAAGAAATGTGGGCAGTTAATGATAACATATGGTGTGTAAGATTGACTCCCCTGTTTCTCTCTCCTGTGTGGTTTCATCCTAAAGGTATCAGAGAGTCTTGTGCAGCGAGATGGAGACTTCTTGGTGCGGGATTCTCTCTCTAGTCCTGGAAACTTCGTCTTGACCTGTCAGTGGAAGAATACAGCCCAACATTTCAAGATCAGTAAGACAATTCTCCGTCTCAATGAAGCCTACTGCCGTATCCAGTATCAGTTTGATCAGGAAAGCTTTGACACCATCCCAGGCTTAGTCAGGTGCTACGTGGGGAATCGTCGACCAATATCCCAACAGAGCGGGGCTATTATTTTTCAGCCCATCAACAGGACTGTACCACTGAGGTGTCTGGAGGAGAGGTATGGCACTTCTCCTGCCCGGTCAAGGGAATACAGCCTCTCAGAGGGAAAAATAGAAAGCACAAAAAGACTGAGCCTCAATATGTGCAATGCGCCATCTCGAGAACAGAGTTTGGCCAGAGGAAATCTTCTAAGGTAAGTTCATTCAAATCAAGCCTATAGAGAGATTAAGAGCTTAAGTTGCTATTTTAGGAACTGAGAAGCATGTGAAAAAGTCTAAGATGTTCAGTTAAATTCAGTTCAAAAAACATATTAAATATTGGCTATGTGCAAGGCCCTTTGATTGGCACTGGGGATATGGTCCCAAGACCCAAACAGTTTCTCCCCTCAAGGAGCTTAGATTCTGTTGGAACAGGTATTACACATACACAGATCACAGGACTAGAAGGGACCTCAGAGGCTGTCTCATTCAACCCCTTCATTTTACAAATGTGTAAACTGAAGACCAAGGCCATGAAGTGATTTTTTCCAAGGTCACACAGGTAGTCCATGTCTGAGATGGGATTTCAACACAGGTTCTTCAGAGCCGGCATTCATTCCACTATACTAATAGAGATAAGTAAAAACAATGCATATACTAAATGATACAAGATAATTTAAAGAGGGAGAGAGCATTAAAAAATGGAGAGGGGTGGATGAGCAAAGGCCCATTTAGGAGTTAACATTCCCTGCCTAGAAGCTTCCAGATACGGATAGGTAAAAAGTTAAACACGCCCTGACTTAGGCCTTCCACGGAAGTGGCATGGCATGAGTAAAATACAGAGACAGGAAAGTCTAGAAGTGTTCAGGGGATGGTGAATAAATGAATATGACCTGGGGGTAGGGTTTACTTAAGGGAGTCTGGAATGGTAGGTTGGGCAAGACTGTGGAAAGTCTTAAATTCTAGACCAAGGAATTGAAATTTTGTCCTATAGCCACTGGAGAGCTATTAAAAGTTTTTGAGTAGTGACATGATCAAAGTAATGTTTTAGGATTATTAATCTTCTGGCAAGAAGGCATTATAGTAGAGTGGATAGTGAGCCAGCCTTGGACCCACAAAGACCTGGATTCAAGTGCCATTTCTTATAGATACCAGCTGTGAGATGTGGGGCAAGTTATTTAACTTCCCATTGCTTAGGGGGCGGGGCACAGAGAAGATGCCAGTCTGCATTTCTTAGGAGGATTTTTCTTATTCAGGAATTTCCTATACCAGTGAAATCTCAAGTCCAGTTCCCATCCCAGTCCTAATCTTCTGGCAGCTAGGTGGTACAGTGAATAGAGCACCAGGCCTGACATCAGGAAGAACTGAGTTCAGATACAGCCTCAGACACTTAACGAGCTTTGTGACCCTGGGCAAGTCACTTAACCTTGTTTGCCTTGGTTTCTTTATCTGTTAAATGAGTTGGAAAAGGAAGTAACAAACCACTCCAGTATCTTTATTAAGAAAACCTGTATGGGGTGATGACGACTGAATACCCAGTCTTCTGGCAGTGTGCAGCACAATGGTTAGGAAGAAAAAGATCCTATAGATAAACCAATGTGCCCTACATATCCCACTGATTTGCTCAGTCTCAGAATATCCCTTGTGCTTTCCTACCTTTAGTCTTTGTTCATGCATTTCCACTTCCTGGAACGCCCAACCCAACTCTGAGTAGCCAAATCCTACTTCCCCGCCCCCCCCCCCCACTTAATGGTATTTTATTTTTTCCAACTACATGCAAAGATAGTTTTCAACATCCATTTTTACAAGATTTTGATTAATAACCTACTTTTCCTTTAAAACCCAAACCAAATCCCATCTTCTGCAAAGCCTTCTTTGGATCCCACCTGGCTAAAGGATTGCCTCCTTCTGGTCTCCTGATGTGAGGTGATCAGGCTGGTGGTAGAGGTGGACATGGAAAAGAAGGTGTGAGAGGTGCTAGGAAAGAAGACTCAGTAGGACGTTGGCAACAAACTAGATATGAAGGAGAAGGCAGGTGACTGAGGATATCAGGGACATGGGTGCTACCACTAATATAGTTATTGGGTAGGTAAGAAGGAACAATGAGTAGTTACTTTTCAGGTATGTTGAATTAAAGGGAATGGCACCAGACAGTTGGAAATTTGGGTCTTGAGTCCAGAGGAGTAATTAGGGCAGGGTATGCAAATAGGGAAGAATGGATGAGATCTCCAAGGAAGACGACCTGAGGGCGAATGATTAAACTTTGGGAAGTCTTAGAGAGGGAAGAAGACCTGATGGTATCGTAGTTTTCGAGCTCGAGGGGACTTGAGTGGTCATCTAGTCCATCTCACTCATTGTACAGATAAGAAAATTGAATAAAGTTGGCTGTCCCAAGGCCGCACAAGAAAAGGGCAGAGCTGGGATTGAAACCTAGGTTTTATGATTCCAGAGCCAATGTCCTTTTTACTGTGCCATGTTGCCTCTTAAAAGAGAAAAGAATAATTAGAATCAAGTTTTTGATTCATTATTACATTGTGGACTATTATTGAGCTTGAAATCCACTAAAACCCCCAGATCTTTTTCAGACAACAGATATTTTAAGCCACTTCTCCCCCTGGATTCTAATCCTGACTCTTCTATAGTCCATGGGCAAAGTCATATAAATTCTCCAGACATCAGTTTCTTTGTCTGTAAAATGGCAGGGATGGGTGCTGGTCTGTAAGATCCCTTTTAACTCTAAATTCTGTGATCTTAGGAGTTGGATCTGGTATAAAGAGAGGTGTGTGTGTGTGTATGGTTGTCTGTTGGTATGGCTGCCTCTGTGTGTGTGTGTGTGTGTGTGTGTGTGTGTGTGTGTGTGTGTGTGTATAGTGGGGAGTGTTGGGGTTTGGAACTGGTAGAAGAACTCTCCAGGTGATGGCATCTTGCCCCATTGTGAACTATTGCCTGGAGTAAACCATGAACTCCAGATGGTGCCCAAGACTTCCTCTACTCCATCCTCCCTGGCAGCCCATAGCATGTGACAGTGTCCGGAGCCAATGATTGGCATTTATGTTGTCAGGTTACATTCCAGACCCTGTTCCGGGACGGGACAGGATGGCAGGGCTCAGCTGTCCTGCCTGCAGTGATTGCTCTGCTCCGGAGTTAGAGTATCACTTTACTAAAACTATTTCCCTTTGGAGATTACTCTCTGCCCCCGTTTATCATCGAGGGGTTGCTGGTTTCGAGGAATGCCTCTGTTGTTGAAGGGTTGGGGATTTTTTTTTTCTTTGAGGCCTACAAAGGTAGGAAAAAAAAAAAAAAGAACTTCCCTCCTCCTTTCTGAGCACTCTAGGGCCACAGTTCAGGAATGTTCAGAGCTGGTGGCATTCAATTACAACTTGGCTGGGAGTAGATTAGCAAAATGCAGCTTTGCAGCCCCTCTTTTATTTAGAGGGATTGTTCCTGATTCATGGAAAACGAGGAAGCCAAGGAGGCATAGCTCCTAGGGCCCTAATTAAGTCCTTCAATGGACCTTGCATTGCCTGGGACTAGTCAACTCGTGTACAGGGGAAAGAGCAGTGATTCTGGAGGAAGAGGACCACGGTTCAAATCCTACCTCTCTGGTGCTGACTACTGGCTTTGACTTTGGTCAAGACACTTAACCTCAATTTTTTCTCTGTGAGATGAGAGGATTGAACCAGAAGGCCTTTGATGTTCCTTCCAACTCCTAGTCCCTGTGATTCAATGCTGGTGTCGGAGGGTCACCTTTAAAAAACAAAATCTTCCCCAGGCTCTCAGCCATCTGAGGAGTCCCCTGCCAGTGAGTGGGAGCAAATCAGGGAGGTTTCTGCCATGACTTTACTGGCATCTCTGGGATACTGAGATTTGCACTGAAGAGGAATTGGTCCAGCAACAGCTTTGAAACTTGTAACTCAGGAGTAACGGTTGTTGACACAGGGAAACTGCTGTGAAAATTGCACGTTAGTTAAAACAAGTCATTTGCCCCAAGTCTGCAAGTAATTTTAGGCTTTGTTGAAATGGTACCTAGTAGTTAGCTTGATTTTCCTGGGAGTATCCTGAAACTTCCCCCTTGGCCTCATTCAACAGGATGGGACAGGTTAGATAAGCAGACACACACTAGAATTTGAACTGAGCTGGCCTGTCTTCCCTGGGGTTGAGGGACTAAAGAGGGCACATGTAACAATTGATCGCTTGTCATTCTTTGGTTTTCTCCTTCAGATCAGCAGATTTCACACTGCTAGCAATAGGACTGTTCTTCCTGCTGATTTTTTTTTTAATTATGATGCTGCTTGATTTTTTTCTCTTTTGTGACATGTTTCTACTTTCCTTTGTGTCTCTCTTCAGAAATAAAGAAAAAAGTGGGAGCCAGCCTGCATGCCTGGATCACATGCAGGATAAAAGGTCCTTGTCCCTCAAAGCCCACCAGTCAGAAAGTTACCTGCCAATTGGTACGTCCTCAGGAATTCAGATGCAAAGGGGGCCATGATTCGATCTTTCCACTCCCATCCCCGTTCCCTTTCTTTGCTAGCACAATAGAAGGGGTGATAAAAATGGGAAAGGAAAGAATTAGCACGAGGTCAGTGCTGTTGTTATCCCCATTTTACAAATGAGGAAACTGAGGCAAACAGCGGCTAAGTGACTTGCCCAGGGTCAAACACACAGTGAGTGTCTGAGGCTAGATCTGAACTCAAGTCTTCCTGACTCCAGGTCCAGCACTCTATCTACTCTATCTACTGGTGCCACCTCTAAATAAATTCATACTTAAATATCAGTGTTTTGGTTCAGTCAACCATTTTTAAGTGCCTACTACATTCAAGGCAATGTACTTGAAGGTTTATGAAACATTATCTTTTTTAAAAATTAATTAATTAAATTTTCATTTTCACCATTCACGTCCACAAGATTTTGAGTTTCAAATTTTCTCCCCATCTCTTCCCTCCCCCAACCTCAAGACAGTGTACATTCTGAATACCCCTTACTCCAATCTGTCCTCCCTTCTATCACTCCCCCCGCTTCTCTTATCCCCTTTCCCTTCTATTTTCCTGTAGGACAGGATAGATTTCTATACCCCATTGCCTATATATCTTATTTCCCAGTTGCACATAAAAACAATTTTTAATACTTGTTTTTAAAGCTTTGGGTTCCAAATTCTCTCCCTTCCTCCCTGCCCACCCACCCTCATTGAGAAGGCAAGCAACTCAACATAGGTTATACATGTGCAGTCATGCAAAACACTTCCATAATAGTCATGTTGTGAAAAACTATATTTCCCTCCATTCTATCCTGGCCCTCATTTATTCTATTCCCTCCTTTGACCCCTTCCCTCCTCAGAAGTGTTTGCTTCTGATTACTCCCTCCCCGAATCTGCCTTCCCCTCTATCATCCCCTCTCATATCCCCTTCCCCCCTATTTTCCTGTAGGGTAAGATAGGTTTCCATACCCAATTGAGTGTGTATGTTATTCCCTCCTTAAGCCAAATCTGATGAGAGTAAGATTCATTCATTCCCTCTCACTTCCCTTCTCTTCCCCTCCACTGTAAGAGCCTTTTCTTGCATGAAACATTATCCCAACAGTTACCTCCAAAGAAGCAGGTAGAAGAGCAGAGGTATTCTATAGCCGCCATCTTTTATAGCTGTGGAGACTGAGATTCAAGTGACTTGCTGATAGACCCACAGCTTTTAAGAGGGACTGGGATTTGAACTCAGATGCCCAGTTTTCTTGTAGGCTCTTTCTGCTCCATAATGCTGTATCCACCCTGCATAAAGATGAGCATTTTTAGATTGAATTAGCCGATTCTGACAGATGTTTGATGGCCCTTATGGGAAGGCAGTTTCTCAGAATGCCCCTTTTGTCCTCCCTCCCATTAATCTGCATTTTCACACTTATCATTCTTAAGGAGCTAAGACCAGGAAGTGTTTAAGGGGCTGGACTTGTTAAGGCACTCGCCACTTCTTGTGTGTCTTAGGACAGTCACCCAAATACAATAAGCTCATCCTTCCTTTTCTGTGAAACTCATTTCACGGCATCACCTCTTTGTAGGTTGCATAATGCCTGTTGTGTTTGGAAGCATAAGTGCTCTATGTGTAGCATGGTGGACAGCTCGACCTAGAATCACCGAGATTACACCTGGTTTTGAATCCTGCCTCAAACACTTAGTACTCACCTAACCTCTCTGATTCAAAGTATCCTCATCTACAAATTGGGGATGATAACACCATTCTCACAGGGCTAAAATGGGATAATTAATAGATATAAAGTGCTTTGAAGACCTTAAAGGGAATATGAGTTTGCACTCGTGTTACATAGAAACAGGAGGAAGTGAGTATGAAGAAATGATGGACTGATGAATTGGGAGAAAATGTAGTAGGCAGCTAGGTAGTTAATGGACTTGGCATCAGGAAGATCTGATTTTGAAACCTGCCTTGTGTGATTCTGGGCAAATCACATTACCTCTTTTGGCCTCAGTTTCCTAATTTGTAAATTGAGGGTAATGATAGCATCTACTTCAATGGGTTGTTGTGAGGATCAAATGAGATAATGTATGTAATGTGTTTTTGCCAATCTTAAAACACTATGTAGATGTTAGCCACTGTAGATGAGCAGATGAAAATATTTGGGGTTCACCTTTTCATAGAGTTAAGCCTGGGAGGAACCAAAGGTCTCTTTCCCAAACTTTCTCAAATTGAATCCTCTGTAGCCAGCCTATTGCTACTTTTGCCTCTCTTCCCCATGCCCCTCTTTATGGGTAGCTAGGCTTTGATGTGACTGAGAGCCCCTAAAGCCAAGTGCCTACAAGCTGCTTTCTCTTTATGAAAGATCAACTTCCCTTCACATATTCCACATTGGATGGAATAATCCAGCTTTGACTGGATTAACCTCGTGTGAGTGGGAACACAGGGTATTGTTAAAAGGATTCCCAAATGACATTAGAAGATAGCAGACAACAGGCATTAGTATCGGGGGATGGCCCCCAGAAATGGGATACTTTGCTGGTTGGCTTATTCATTGAAATATTACTTTTCCTGTGGGGATGAGGTATATATAACAGGGGCTCTCTAGAAATGAATGTGGAAATGTAAATAAAGCACAATCATAGGACCATAATTTAGGAAGGGATCTTAGAGGTTGTTAAGTCCAACCCTCTCATTTTATAAATGAGGAAACTGAGGCACTGAAGTTATGTAATTTGCCCAAGGTCACACAGCTAGTAGGTGGGAATTTGAACTCTGATCTTTTAAACTCCTAAGTCTGGAGCCTTATATATCATACTTTCTCTCATGCTGAGTTTGCTAGGAAGAGGGGAGGTTGCTTTTTTTTCCCTGCTTTTCATACAACTGGGCTCTTTTAACCCTCCTTTTTTAATTCTAGGTTCTAAGCTGCCACCCCAGTCCTCTGGAGTAGACACAAGCCCCTGTCCAAATTCCCCAGTATTCAGGACAGGCAGCGAGCCAACACTCAGCCCCACAGTGGTGCGGAGGGTTTCCTTGGAAGCACAGGTCCCCGGGGAAGCCTTGAGAGGATCAGACAGCCAGTTGTATCCCAAACCTCCACCTAAGCCAAGCAAAGTGCCTTTCCTAAAGCCACCCCAGTCTCCTTCCACTTGGCACAACTTTGAGGCAAACTATTGTGAACTCAATCCTGCCTTTTCCCCTGGCTTCTGTGGGACAAAGCAGGCTCTGTGTCCCCAGAGTGGCTGTGGGGAGCCTCTGGAAGCTAAGGAGAATGGGGCCCTCTCACTCCGAAACTCTGGCACCAACTATCTGATCCTGGACAACGACGCTCCAAGGCCTTCTCGGGTTCTGTTGGCTGCCCAGATGGAGAAGGGACAGGAGAGTGGCGGGGTGTTTGTGACACCCATTCTGGAGACAGTCTCTTCATTCAGGCCCAATGATTTTGAATCCAAACTCCTTCCTCCTGAAAACAAGCCTCTGGAAACATCGATGTTGAAACGTGCCAAGGAGTTGTTCACCAATAACGATCCCAAGGTCATCGCCAAGCACATGCTGAAGATGGACTGCAAGGTAAATGCCTGGATCTTTTAAAACAGGAAGAAAAAAAATGAAAAAAAAAAAGACTTTTCTATATTTTCACTTAGCCACACCTTTCTTTCTAAGTGGTTTGCTTATGAGAAATTTCTGAAATGGCTGATGATGCCATGAGTGCAGAGATTGACCAAAGGGGTGAGAGGTCAGAGCAGTCCTGCCCTCTTGGAAGGAAGCTTGTGGACTTTACCCTGGACAGTTCTATTGGCAGGTTGGTAGAAGAGCCTGGGGATGAAACTGTGGCCAAGCATATACCTCATACCCTCTACCAGGGTTAGGAAACTAACACTAGAGGTCTTCTTTGCTGGCTGGTAGTTATTTTTATAGATTTTTAGAGCTGAAAGGCACCATAGGAATCATCTAGCTCAGGAATCCTTAACTTTTGTTGTGTCATGGATCCCTTCGGCATTCTGATGGAGCCTACAGACTCCTTCTCAGAATAATATTTTTAAATATATAAAACACATCAGATTACAAAAAACCTAATTATATTATTATTGAAATATATTTAAACACACACACACACACACACACACACACACACACACACACACACACACACACAC